AAAAAAAAAAAAAAAAGTATAAGTATGTGAGAGATTCAACACAGACTTCTTGAAAAAGATAATACTAAGAAACTAGGAAGAATCTTACAGGTTTTTTTTTTGTTTTTTCAGAGTCTCACTCTCTTGTCCAGGCTTAAGTATAGTGGTGTAATTATGTCTCACGTATACCCTTGACCACCTAGGCTCAAGTGATCTTCCTGCCTCAGCCTCCCAAGTAGCTAGGACTACAGGCATGCACCACCACACCCAACTAATTTTTAAATTTTTTGTAGAGATGTGGTTTTGCTATGTTGCCCAAGCTAGTCTTGAACTCCTGGCCTCAAGTGATCCACCCACCTCAGTCTTCCAAAGCACTGGGATTATAGGTTGAGCCACTGTGCCCAGCTACAGTTTCTTTATAGTAATTTTTCTGAAATTTCCCTGGACCTTTATGATTTATTAAGGTTAGTTTGATAAAATCTAAATGCAGGCATAATTGATATTAATATGTGCAGTCAACTGTTTCAAGGGTTATACTGGCATAAAATTACTTGGAGCTCTTGAACCAGTATTTACTTAATTTCAACTTTTCATAGCAAGTATGTAAGTTGCATTATAAAGCAGCAGCCACATAAAGCACATATTAAATTGGTAATTATTCTGACTATCGTGATACCGACTCTTTAATTATCAATGACAAAAAATATTACTTTTTTCTTTACAATAGTTTAATTACCTTTGAGGACCAACCAAATGGCTTATTTTATTTTATTTCATTTTTAAGATGGAGTTTCACTCTTTTGCCCAGGCTACGGTGAAGTGTCATGATCACAGCTGGGATTTCAGGCACACGCCACCACGCTCGGCTAATTTTTGCATTTTTGTAGAGATGGGGTTTCACCATGTTGGCCAGACTGGTCTTGAACTCCTGACCTCAAGTAATCTGCCCGCCTTGGCCTCCCAAAGTGCTGGGATTACAGGCATGAGCCACTGTGCCTGGATTAATTTTTGTATTTTTTAGTAGAGATGGGGTTTTGCCATGTTGGCCATGCTGGTCTTGAACTCCTAACCTCAGGTAATCCACCTGCTTCGGCCTCCCAAAGTGCTAGGATTACATTTATGAGCCACTTCGCCCAGCCTCAAATGGCTTATTTACAAAAGTGGTAAAGGTAAATAATCACTAGTTGAAATATATCTATTGAGTTGATTCTAAGTAGTTATTTAAATGGCCCCAAGAGACACACAGGAGAGATTATATGATCCCTCCACTTACTCTGTATACTGCTGCCATCCAGGACATTTGTGGCTGAAAGATCCAGAGAATTAGGCCTCTGTGCTCTTCTGGGCTTTGATGGCCCAGGATCTGCTGCTGTGCTTGGAACACCCTGTGTAAGAACATCTTGTTCTGAACATGGATTGCTGTTGTTGTTATTGGAATTAGTTCGGCCACCTTCTAGTGGCCGTTCCCTCCTGTCCACAAGACGATCCAGAACACCTTCATCGTGGCCAGCTTGTTGCTCTCGTCTCAGTAAAGGCTCATGCTCATCAGGACTGGAATTAATATTCAGCCGGGTATCCTCACTGATAAACTGATTCTGCAGCATTTCTTGGGCCCTATGTGTCACTATGTTGGTTGTTTGGCCAGATGGTACTGTCCCATTGGCATATTGGGTTGTAGCAGCATGGGAGTTAACACTGTGGTTTCTACCTGCCACACCATTCATGGTGACTGTCACCACATGAGGTTCTGCTGCATTGATTGTATTCATCTTTGCAACTCCAGTTTCTACTTGTTTCAAGTTTGATTTGTGCTTGCTGCCAAATTTTAACCGGGGCTCCTTTGTTGAATTTTTGGTGTTTAAAGGCAAACTAGTAGGTCTCTTGGGAAGGTTCTGTTGCTTGGGGAGGGGATAGATCTGAGTAGGCAGAACATCAGGAATTAAACATGCTTGGCCATTTGCAGCCTGTGTGAAGTCCTGCTGTCCAGTTGCTTCTACTGCAAGTTTTATGAGTGGGTAAAGCAGGCTAGAACTAGTACTGCTCAGTGGGTCTGGCCCACTGAACTGTTTAAGAGAGTGCTCCATCAGATTCTCATCAGAGCTTTCCTTAAGGTTCTTATCAACTTCTTTTGGGTCTAGTTTGTTGGTCTCCAAGTCTTCTTCTGTCAGCTGTAAGCAGACAGGGGTTGGCCCAATTGATTGTGCAACATTTGTGGCATGCAGATTTGTTTCATCTGGGTATGGCATCTCAGATATAGTGGTCATGCCAGTACTTGGCGTGAGGCCTGTGGTGTTTGTGGTTGTTGTGTTGGTGGAGAGGCTAGTGACACTTGTTTCAGGGCTGGGGATTCGAGCTTGTGCTTGCTGTCGTTCATAGTTAATTGAATTTCGGTTCTTTTCCCCTATAGTCAAAGGTGTGCTGGACATAGAATGCTCAGAGGAAATATTCTTCACAATGCTGTCAGTGTGATGGACAGAGTCTTCAATGTATGAGGAGGAAGAATAATCTGGATAAGGACCAATTTTTGGCACACGCCTATTATGTGACAGGTTGCTTAAAGAAAGAAAAAAAAGTGTCACATTGAGAACAGACATTTATGACAAACTGTCTCTCCAAGTTTAACACCTCTGATTTTAAAGTCTGAGCTGTTTTTCATTTTCTTCCAAACATATATTTTTCTAAAGGTTAGTTAAAAAGTCTAATCAAATAATCAAGTGTCAATTAATAACTTGATAAGTGTTAGTTTTAGATGAATTAAGCCTACTGAAAAATTTGTGAATCAGATATGATTTTTATAAATGTCCATTATTTTGGTTTATAAGAGTTAATTTAAAAATATCTCCTATAGTCTTATAACATCACAAAATATCTATTTATGAACTATATATTCATACAACAAGACATTATGTTTTATGAGAGGAAGAACCATGGCATATGTTTCTTTTTTACTTCCATAATTTTAGATGCATAGTACCTACTCAAAAGGTATGTTGTCAATTACATTCCAATGGCCAGATGGTAAAAAGAATATAAGCTTTTAGGTTGTTCCAAAGGCCTCCGTTAAGAGGCATGCCCTAGCAATGGCACATATCTTCCTGGGATAGTCTGAGCCATTTCAGCAAAAGTCCTTGAGCCTAAGGCATAATGAAGAATGTGTTGTTCAAATAAAGGATCAAAGATTCAGAACTGCTCTCTAATTATCATGGGTTTTTCACTGTCATTGTCATTCCTTGGGAGTGACAGTTATTTACAAGGGAGATGACAGAAGGAAAAGAAGAAAAAGTTGTTAAACAGTAGAAGAAAAGGAAGCTAAGGAGACATGGAGGGTAAGATTCAGTAAAATAAAACGTAGATTAGAGTAACTATGGGAAATCATTAGTAGAGACTGGAGATGAGAAGATGCATGGAGAAGGTAGAGCTGAATGACACAGAAGGCAAAAAAATGGCCAAATCAAGGTGGGGTATCAAGGATTTCTTTTCTTATCATTAAAGAAAAGTTTGAAAGCATTCAAAGTAAAAGCTTTCGCTGACTTTTGAGAAAGGTATAAACAACATACTAGAGGACATGGGAAATACAGAGATGAGGGGAGATGAAAGAATACTGTCCTCAGGTATGTCTAAAGTGAGAAAACTTATGATTAGAATTGCCAGTGTCTACCTTCCCTGACTTGCTGATATATAACGTATAAGAGTTTATATCTGAAACTAATTTAACCTATACAAAAGTAGTACAAACCACATTTTTGACCTATGGCTAATATAAATAGCTTTCACAAATTAGAAAAATAGAAAATAGGCCAGGCACAGTGGCTTGCAGCCAGGCACGGTGGCTCACGCCAGCACTTTAAGAGGCCAAGGCGGGCGGATCACCAGAGGTCAGGAGTTCACGATCAGCCTGGCTAACATGGTGAAATCCCATCTCTACTAAATATACAAAGTTAGTTAGGCCTGTAATTAGGTGGCTCATGCCTGTAATCCTAGCTACTGGGGAGGCTGAGGCAGGAGAATCTCTTGAACCCGGGAGGGGGAGGTTGCAGTGAGCCAGGATTGTGCCACTGCACTCCAGCCTGAGTGACAGAGTGAGCCTCAGTTTCCACCCCCAAAAAAGTTTCAAGAATCAAGTGTATTTTTATTTCAATTTTCGCCTGTACCGCTTTCCTGGATGCCTTTCTGAAAGTTTTAAACATGTATTAGACAAAATGACAAAGTCATAGAGCAGGTTTTTTTTCCCCCAAACATGGAACAAAGAAATACAGGCGTAGAAAGTTCCAAATTGTAGGGATTTTTTAAAAGTCTCTTTATTTAAAACCAAAAATCATAGTTCTAATAAAGGAAATGTCTTGTAAAATAATATTCATGATGGAACAGAAAGACCTTTGAACTGCTTTCATGTAGTAGTAGTGTATTCTAGAAGAAAGGGCATTAGATAGGAAGTCTAGAAACTGTAGCATCAGTGACAGTGGTTAGATAGGCAAGTTCACAGATCTATTGACTTAAGGAAAAAAGCAGAGGAGGAAGGAATAGTAACAACAAAGGATAAATGAGACAATTTATATAGAAGTGCTTATGAACTTTTGGTTATTAAAACGTTTTACCTTTATTATTGCAGGAAAGTTGGATCATAGAGAAATACTAACTTCTTTCACTATATTTTTACATATAAAAAATGCAGATTTCAATTTGTACTTATACCAAACAAAAATGTTCAGTAAAGAATAGGAATATTGAAAGACAAATGATAACTTTAGATTGTATGAGGTAATCATTGAACCATTAGGCTGGTTTAACAGTATTTGTTTTCTATTCTTTGTTGGGTCTCAGTTTCTAATACTGACTGATAGATGCCACACCCCTTAGGGTCTTACCGTTCATTCTGCATAGCAGTAGACATTGGATTGACTGTTGGGCTCACAGATTTGTTTCTTTCCCAAATCATCATAAGTTCAGCCATCCTTTCCTCAGCACACTGTGCAGTAAGCCGAGCCTCTGCATCCTGGTCCCAACAGTCTTCGATTGTCTCCTTGAGTGACCTCACTGCCTGTAAGACAAAGTACATGTCAAACGGTGTGTTTTTTTAAAAAAAAGTATCAAGCTTTTCAGTTCACAACATGAGGTAAAAGAAAAATCAATTTCCCTAACCAGTATTTTACATATAATAACATATTTTAGGCTTCAAGGGTTTGTAAAGGAACACATTCTCAAAAGGCGAGGAACAAGTAAGCAAGCAAGATTTAACTCCCTGAAGAATTATTCACAAGAGTAAGCAACAATAAGTCACAGATATTTTTTCAAGGCCACAGGTTTATGTCATTGTTGTTAATTCACAGTTCTGTTATTTCAATCAATAGCCACTAATTCTACCTCAAAAATAAGTTTTGAGTTTGATAGAATTTGGGGCATTTGGCTATCTTCTATCTCTAGGTGAGCTTTTCTCCTTTTCCCTCAGTTAAGAGTGCTTGGCTGGGCGCAGTGGCTCACACCTATAATCCTAGCACTTTGGGAGGCTGAGGCAGGCCGATCACCTGAGGTCAGGAGTTTGAGACCAGTTTGGCCAACATGGTGAAACCCCATCTCAACTAAAAACATTAAAAAATTAGCCAGCATGGTGGTGTGCACCTGTAGCCCCAGCTACTTGGGAGGCTGAGGCAGGAAAATTGCTTAAACCCAGAAGGCAGAGGTTGCAGTGAGCCAAGATTGTGCCACTGCACTCCAGCCTGGGTGACAGAGTGAGACTCTGCCTTAAAAGGAAAAAAAAAAAAAAAAAAAAAAAGAGTGCCTTGTTCCAACCTTAAAATTTACAGACATGTCTTCTTTAAACTAGTTCCACAACAGTAGTATCAAAAATAGTCCCATTCTGTAGTTCTCCTAAACATTAGCAATGAACAATAGTCTCCCTTTTGGGGAAAGCTAGTTTTAACTCCCTTTGTAAAAACAGGCTTTGGATTCTTTAGTAGACTGTCATGTATACTGTCATCTATAATCCCTTCAGACTTGTTTTAATTAAGCTTTAAGCTTTGTGCCTGCTCTGATACTTACATTTCCTGTACCTTTACTTTCAAAAAGATGGTTTTGGGCTAGGGTTGCCAGATTTAGCAAATAAATATAAGATACTCACTGCAACTTGAATTTCAGATAAACAACAAATAATATTTCAGTATAAGTATAACCCATATAATTCTTAATCTAGGCATTTTATCTGAGAAGCATATTTTATGCTAAAATTCTGGTTAGCAATCCTGGCAACATTTTTAATGTTTCCTAATAACCTGTATTCTGCAACAAACAAATCTGGACAGGAAATTTAATAATGTTCTTTCCAGGTGTATGCTCATACCTACACAATGGCTTTGGGGAATAAGGGTTTTTTAAAGTTCCCACATATACTAGAGAACCTAGAAAGCCAAGCATATGTACAAAGCGGAGACATGATCAGAAAATACCTGAGAAGACTATAGCTTTTTTAACTGGTGGTCTTTAGGCTCAGGACTACCCAGGAGATGAACGCTGAGGCAGAGTTGTAAAAGGCCTAGGTAAGTGGAAAAGGAGGACTCCAAAACAGAGTAAATCTACAAAGACCTGGAGAGTATTTTCTTTATTCTATTTATTTTCTTTTCTATCATAATATTCAAAATGTCTAGTTTTAAACAATAAATTATAAGGCACACAAAGAAACAAAAAATATGGCCCATTCATAGGAAAAAAAGAAATTAACAGAAAAGATCCCTGAGAAAGGACAGACATTAAAATTATGAGACAAAGACTTTAAATGAACTACCTTAAATTAAATATTTAATTAAGGAACAAATTAAGGAAACCATGGACAAAGAACTAAAGGACATTAGGAAAACTATCTCAGTAAGTGGAGACTAGCAATAAAGAGATAGAAATTATTTAAAGGTACCAAAAAGACACTTTGGAGCTGAAAAATCAAAAAGTAAAATAAAAATATTCACTATATTGGTTTAATAGCAGATTTATAAGCAGAGAGAAGAAAGAATCAGTAAACTTGAAGATAGGGAGAATAAAATTACCAGACTAAGGAGCAGAAACCAAAAGAATAAAGAAAAATGAACAGAGCCTAAAAGACTTTTGAGACACCATGAGTCATACCAAATATACATAATGTGAGTCCCAAAATCAGAGAAGAAAGAAAAAGGAAGAATATGGAAAGTCATAATGGCTCAAAACTTCCCAAACTTATTTTATTTAATTAATTTATTTATTTTTTGAGACAGGGTCTTGCCCTGTCTTCCAGGCTGGAGTGCAGTGGCACAATCTCGGCTCACTGCAACCTCTGCCTCCTGGGTTCAAGTGATTTTCCTGCCCCAGCCTGCCAAGTAGCTGGGATTACAGGTACCTGCCACCATGCCTGGCTAATTTTTGTATTTTTAGTAGACATGGGGTTTCGCCATGTTGACCAGGCTGATCTTGAACTACTGACCTTGGGTGATCCACCTGCCTCAGCCTCCCAAAGTCCTGGGATTACAGGCATGAGCCACCACACCTGGCCAAAACGCTCCAAATTTAGTAAAATAAATAAATCTAGGCTAGGCATCATGGCTAACACCTGTAATCCCAGCAGTTTGAGAGGCTTAGGCAGAACACTTGAGGTCAGGAGTTTGAGAGCAATCTGGCCAATATGGTGAAACCCTGTCTCTGCTAAAAAGAAAAAAATTGGCTAGGCATGGGGTCGGGCACCTGTAATCCCAGCTACTTGGGAGGCTGAGGCAGGAGAATTGCTTGAACCTGGGAAGTGGAGGTTACAGAGAGCCAAGAGCCAAGATCATGCCACTGCACTCCAGCCTGGGTGACAGAGTGAGACTTAGACTCAAAAAAACAAAAAACAAGAAATGAATCTACATATCCAATATCCAAAAAACTTGATGAATTCTAAGTAGGATAAACTCAGTTTCATATTGAGACACGTTACTATTAAACTGTCAAAAGCTTAAGATGAAGAGAGAACCCTGACAGCTAGAGAAGAGACCTGAAACATGCATGAGGTCTTCAATAAGATTAACAGCCAATTTCTTATCAGAAAACATGGAAGCCAGAGGAAGAGGTATAACATACTTAAAATGCTGAAACAACAACGACAACTGTTAACCAAGAATTCTATAGCAAGGAAAATTATCCTTAACTAATGAAGTAGAAATTAAGGTATTTCCAGATAAACAAAAACTGAGATTGGGTATGGTGGCTCACGCCTGTAATCCCAGTACTTTGGGAGGCTGAGGCAGGTGGATCACCCAAGGTCAGCAGTTCAAGACATGCCTGGTCAACACGGCGAAACCCTGTCTCTACTAAAAATACAAAAATTAGCCAGGCATGGTGGCAGGTACCTGTAATCCCAGCTACTTGGCAGGCTGGGGCAGGAAAATCGCTTGAACCCAGGAGGCAGAGGTCGCAGTGAGCCAAGATCATGCCACTGCACTCCAGCCAGGGCAACAGAGAAAGGCTCTGTCTCAAAAAAAAAAAAAAAAAAAAAAAAGCTGATATTCCCTACAAGAAATGCTAAAGGGAGTCCATCAAAGGACATCAGACAATAAGTAGAAGCCAAAAGACTACTTAGGTAGATATAAAAGCCACTATTATTATATTTTTGGTTTGTAACTCCTTTTTAAAAACAAAAAAAGGCCGGGCGCGGTGGCTCACGCCTGTAATCCCAGCACTTTGGGAGGCCGAGGCAGGTGGATCACGAGGTCAAGAGATAGAGACCATCCTGGTCAACATGGTGAAACCCCGTCTCTACTAAAAATACAAAAAATTAGCTGGGCATGGTGGCGCGTGCCTGTAGTCCCAGCTACTCAGGAGGCTGAGGCAGGAGAATTGCCTGAACCCAGGAGGAGGAGGTTGCAGTGAGCCGAGATCGCGCCATTGCACTCCAGCCTGGGTAACAAGAGCGAAACTCCGTCTCAAAAAACAAAAACAAAAAACAGAGTCTCATTCTGTTGCCCAGGCTGTAGTGCAGTTGCATGATCACAGGTCTCCTTACTCCTGGACCAAGCAATCCTCCTACATCAGCCTCCTGAGTAGCTGGGACTGCAGACAAGCACCACTGTGCCTGGCTAAGGCACCACTGTGCCAAAATGATCCTTCTGCCTTGGTCTCCCAAAGTGCTGAGATTACAGGGAAAAGCCATCACATCTAGCCTCCTCCTTTTTTCTTAAGAGAGAAAAAGCATAAAATAATAATTATAAATCTAGGCTGGGCACAGTGGCTCATGCCTATAATCCCAGCAATTTAGGAGGCTAAGGTGGGAGGACTGCTTGAGGCCAGGAGTTCAAGACAAGCCTGGGCAACACAGCAAGATTCCATTTCTACAAAAAAATTTAAAAATCAGCTGGATGGCTTCTTCTCCGATAGAACACCAAATGGCGGATGAAGCCGATGCAAAAAGAAGAAAAAATTTAAAAAAAAAAATCAGCTGGATGGGCTGGGTGCAGTGGCTCACATCTGTAATCCCAGCACTTTGGGAAGCTGAGGCAGGTGGATCACCTGAGGTCACAAGTTCGAGACCAGCCTGACCAATATGGTAAAACCCCACCTCTACTAAAAATACAAAAATTTGCCAGGTGTGGTGGTGGGCACCTGTAGTCCCAGCTAGTCGGGAGGGAGACAGGAGAATTGCTTGAGCCCAGGAGGTGGAGGTTGCAGTGAGCCGAGATCATGCCACTACACTCCAGCCTGGGTGACAGAGCAAGACTCTGTTTCAAAAAAAAAAAAAAGATTAGCTGGATGTGGTTGTGCACACCTGTAATCCCAGTTACTCAGGAGGCTAAGGTGGGAGGATCACTATTTAGCCTGGGAGGTCAAAGCTGTAGTAAGCCATGATGGCCGGACTATACTCTAGTCCGGGTGATACAGTGAGGCCCTGTACTCCCATTGCCACCCCCTAAAAAGAATGTCTAAAATTAAAAAGACTGGCAATACCAAGTGTTTGCAAAGATGTAGAGAAACTGGAACTCTCAGGCACTGCTGGCCAGAATGTAAAATGGCACAACTACTTTAGAAAACCAGCAGGGTTTCTTTTTTCTT